ATCTAGTTTTTAACATTGGCTGCCTTTCTTTTTTTTAATTTTTAATTTAAATTTTATTTTATTGGGAGCTCTTACAGCTCTTATCACAATCCATACATACATCCATTGTGTCAAACACATCTGTACATATGTTGTCTTCATTTCTTTCAAAACATTTTCTTTCTACTTGAGCCCCTGGCATCAGCTCCTCATTTTCTCCTTCCCTCCTTACCCTCCCTCCTCCATGCCCCCCTCGATAATTTATAGATTATTCTTTTTTAAAATTGTTTATGTCTTACACTGACTGCTGTCTCATTTCTCCCACTTTTTTGCCGTCCATGCCCCTGGGATGGGGATCCTATGTCGATCATTGTGATTGGTTCCCCCTTTCTCCCCGCCCCCTCCCCCTTACCCTCCTAGCATTGCTGCTCCTCTTAATGGTCCTGAGGGGTTTATCTGTTCTGGATTCCCTGTGTTTCGAGCTCTTATCTGTACCAGTATACATGTTCTGGTTTAGCCAGATTTGTAAGATAGAATTGGGGTCATGGTGGTGGGGGAGCATTAAAGAACGAGGAAGGCGGTGTGTTTCATCGGTGCTATACTGCACCCTGATTGGCTCTTCTCTTCCTTGTGGCCATTCTGACAGGGGGTGTCCAATTGACTACTGATTGTCTATGGGTCTTCCTTGTGCCCTTCCCCTCATTCCTGTTGATATGCTTTTGTTTGTTTGGGGTCTTTGATGCCTGGTAACTGATCCCATTGATACCTCATGATCACACAGGCTAGTGTGCTTCTTCCATGTGGGCTTTGTTGCTTCTCAGCTAGATGGTCGCTTGTTTACCTTCAAGCCTTTAAGACCCCAGACACTATATCTCTTGATACCCGGGCACCATCAGCTTTCTTCACCACATTTGCTCATGCACTCATTTGTCTTCAGCCATCATGTCAGGGAAGGTGAACATCACTGAGTGCCGTGTTAGTAGAACAAATTGTTCTTGCGTTGAGGGAGAACTTGAGTAGAGGGCCAATGTTCATCCACTATCATAATACTTTATAAATAAATATAAGTACATAGATCTATTCCCATGTCATTGTATATAAATGTATTTACATATATTAATGCCTGTATTTAGACCTCTTTAACTGTCCTATGTCTCCCAGTTCTTTTCTCAATTTCCTTTTACTTTCCTCCCATCCCACTATCATATTCAGTCTTTGTTTGGGTTTTGGTAATTCCTCTTGGCTACATTGCCCTTGATCGAGCCCCCACCCCCACCCCCAGCATCTACACCCTCCTCGCCATCAATTTTAGATCACCTGTTCTTCCCTTGTTCCTGGGTTTGTTGGCACCCCCCCTCCTTTCCCCCCATCTCTGCCTGTCCCATGACCCCTGTCCCATAGTTCTGTCCTCTGGATTGTTCATCCCACCTATCTTGTCCGGACAGACGTGCATAGACAATAATACACGGAAAAACAAAGCAGAGCAAAACATAACCAAAAAAAGAAGCCAAAAAAAAAAATAAGTCAACAACAGATAATACAACAAAACCGAAAAGAAAGAAAGAAAGAAAAAAGGAAAAACCAACAGCAAAAACGGAACAGCCCTCAAGCAGGTCCAGGTCTGTCCATTGACCTTTATGAGTGTTTTCCAGTCGAGTCTGCTGGGGTGCCACGCCTTGGCCCCCAAGTCCACCTCTGATTTTGTGGCATTATTCAGACTTTGTGACTTGCCTTCTTATAGTGAGAAAGGGAAAATACTTGTTCCCACCAGCTACTCACCTGGCCGTAAAAGTGAATCAAGTGTGTGTATCTGTGTGTGTGGGGGTGTGTGTGTGTCTGGGCTAGGCTGCCCCAGGGGAGGGCCGCAGAGTTGAAGGGCCATTCCTGAGGTTCCTCTCCAGTAATTCCTTCTGGGGTCCTGGGCCCCTCCTCTTCAGTACTCTGAGAAGAGCTTGATAGCCTCCCTCATCTCCCTGCAGTACATCTCATCCGTTTCCAGCCTCCCTTCCTGGGGTCCCACGCTCTCCAGATGAAGCTCCCTTCTTCCCAGCTCTTCCAGCCCGGCCCACATTCCCCGACTCCCACTCACACGAAGGCTGGGGCTGGACGGGGCTGAGGACAGTCTCCAGGGTCACCCAGTGGGAAGACAGGCCCAGTGGTGGGTGATCCAACAAGCAAGGTAACTTGCTTATTTACTACTCTGTAGTGAACAGTTTCAAGGGCCTTTCGCAACGTCTTTGAAAAATGCTCACTAGAGATTGGTAAACAGGAGTAATCCTGGGCTTACCTTGCTTATCAGGTAATCCTCCCCAGACAGACCACAGGGTAACTCTGGCTCCCTGCCAAGTCTAGAGAAGAGCTCCAGACCCCTGTCCAGTGAGGGCCAGGAGGTGGGTATTTGCAGGGGAGGGCACCTGGGTTCTAGGCGAGGGACACCCAGAAGCAAGGCTCTGTGCCTGGTTGGTTTATATTAGGATGCAAGGGGCCAGGAGAGAGCACATAGTCGGACAGGGATAGGTGGACTGAAGTTAAGGGCCTGGCTGATGACAGGGCATGTCACTGGGACTGACAGATGGGCCGGGACACTCACAGCATCCCTGGACACGAAAGGGCCTTCGCAGTGTAATTTGCAATGTATGAAAAATGATTAATGAGCCCATACTTACCAAAGGATGACACGTCAGCATAATGAGTGCTCATGTGGCTTTCAAAAAAAGAAACGGACTATCCCTAATGCTATTGGAGCCCCAGGATGCCCCTCCCCAGACACACCTCCCATCTGGCTGAACTGAGCTGTCTTCCTCATTCCCTTGCCTCCCTTTCAAGTTTGGTTACACATGCATGTATCCCTGAAGAAGATACTGAGGTCTACATATTTTTGAACTTAAACCCAAAGCCAAACTCACGGCCAGAAAGTCAATTCGGACTCATAGCAACCTTACAGGACAGAGTAGAATGGTCCCTTTGGGTTTCCAAGACTGTAACTCTTTGCAGGAGTTGAAAGCCTCATCTTTCTCCTGCAGAATGGATGGTGGTTTTGAACTGCTGACCTTGTACTAGCCCAATGCATCACCCACTACAGATCACCAGGGCTCCTTGAGCTTAGACAGAATATATTATTTGGAGACGTGGTTTTTGAGCTCAATGTTCTGTGAGACTCGCCGATGATGGTGCATGCATCTGGTTTGTTCACTTTTTCTCTTGGGTGGTGTTTTACACGTGATGTTACCACGATGTATCTATCTCTGGATTGTCATTAGCCTTCCACTATTCCATGTTATGCCCTGGGTTCTCAGCAAGGATGCATATCAGCGTCACCTGGGGTACAAGTTTTTAGAAATTAACAGCCACCAAGGCTATGTAATAGGGGTCTGCTTTCATCGATTTTTCTGATGGCTAAGCAGTTTTCCTAACATGACTTAACAAGTAGTTCATTATATCACCCTCTTCATCTAATTGCTAATATACAACAGGTATACACTAGTCAGGGAGGAGCCATGGTTACTGGTTACATGTTGGGCAGCTAACCGCAAACTCAGCAGTTCTAAACCACCACCAACTCCGTGGGAGAAAAACAGGGCTTTCTAAGCCCACAAAGAGTTACAGCCTCGGAAACCCACAGGGGCTGCTCTCCCCTGTCCTCTGGGGGCTGTGAGTCAGAACAGACTCGTTTGGTTTGGTTTGGTGTGCACTCTGTGTGGACAGTTTCCTGGCTCCTCTCCATGCCTTACCTTTGTGCCAATAATAGGCTGTCTTATTTCCACCGTACTCTTTTTTAGAGTTATTTTTCTGGTTATTTAAATTGTGACTATAGGGGGTTCCATGTAAAATTCGTTCAGTGTTTCAAGTTGGTTTTAAAATTTCCATAATAAAAATATTGGTGGAAAGAAGTCTTGGCCCATCAGGCCTCTGTGCCCATTCCCCCAGGCAACGTTTTCAAGCTCAGGTGTCCCGGCCAGCTCCTGCAGCCCCAGGCCTTCCTGGGAGAAAAAAATGATGCGATTTGGAGGAGTACAGGGGCCTTTGGCAGTCCGGTAAATAGTACAGATGATTTGGCAGTAATGGTCTAATATCGTGGCCATTTCAGGGCCGAGAGGAGCTACCTGTTTGAGGACCTGTCTCTCTGCTCCACCAGGGTGCTGCGTCGGCCCTGCTGCGTCCAACCTCCAGCACCCCTCCAGGATCGCGCCTCAGTCTCCCTCTCTGCCTGCCACGCCATCCCTGGCCCGCTGGCTCCTAGAGTTGGGGGCTGGAAGGCCCCTTAGGGAACCCAAATCCTGGTCAGGCCGGGAAATGGAGACCCAGGGAAGAGAGGACACGACTTGGCTCCGGCCACAGCGCGGGTCCACCGACCCGCAGCAGAACAAGGCCCTGTCGTCCCTCTAGACCGGGTTCCTACCCTTCTCAGGCCCGGGTCGTAGCTCCGGTGGTGCGTTCCTACCTCCCCGGGGTGCTCGGACTGTCGCCAGGCTGCGAGCACCGCCCCTCTCGGACGTCCCGCCCCTGCACCACGACAAAGGCCCCGCCCCTTCTCCGCCTCCCGGCTGGGCTTCTTCATGGTCGCCGGGGGGCGCGCGCGGTCCG